AGAGGGACACAGACACAACACTATAAATCAGGATGAATTTCAGGAAATAGTGTATAGGAAGAATTAAGTCTAAGTCAAGATGAAAGAAATATCTTGGATTTCAATTAACTAGTAGTCCACAGATTAGCCGGACAGTTGTCTGGAGACAGCACTAAAATGAAAATCAACTCTGTAGCCAACAGAATTTCAGAAGGTAAATTATTAAAGGAAGCATATGGAAATAATTTATAACTCTTATTACTATTTCTAGTCCTTCAGATATAAAGTGATCTTAATGCTTGGAAATTGGGGAAGAATTTTCTTTTCCATTTTTCAACATAGACCAAGTGGAGTACTCATTAAAGATATCCATTTCTCAGCTCCCTACTGTTATGATCGCTCCATATCTTTCGGATTATCTCTTTGTTTTGAGCCTCACACTATGTAGCTGATTGATTAATAATTTTAGGCTAAGTACATTTGGATTATAACTGATCACTGCTGCTATAATTATTACCAATTAATGTAAATATCTGTTTTTATGCCTTGTTTACCTGGGTCCCTAGCTCACAGGTTCAAGTTGCTTGTGTTTCAAACTGACAATAGAACTGTGCTACAAACCTGCTAGAATTCTAAAACCACACGGTCCTGGATGAGATTTGCTTGGATCATAATTTAAAGTGGCTGAAACATTTGTAGCAAGCTGGTAAAAACAGTTATGATGAAGTTTTTTGATAATTTAGACATTTAATATTTGACATTATTTGGGGAAATATCAAAGAAACTAAGAGAATAGATTAGACTTTTGTCATCTTAATATCTTAATTAGACTTTCAAAACTTTTTGAATCATTGGATTTTCTGTTATTTTGAGTGGCAGAAGAGATGAGAGAGAACTGACAGAAGCATTTAAGGAGAAAAAAATTCTTTTGTGAACAAACCTATCATGGATAAGTGCTTACATAGACTTTTAAAAAATTAATTTTAATTAGGTTACTTAAAATCAAGGTATAGCCCGGAATAAGAATCATCAAAGAAAAGTAGCCATGCTAACAGAACAAGTTATTCACTCAACAAATATTCACGGAGAGCCTACTGAGACAACAACTGGGTTGAGGGTCCGAAACGCACACGTTTCTCACTTCCGACTGAGGTGGAGGCAGCAACGTGAAAGGCAGCAAAGAAAGACGCTAAGGGAACAACAACATTAGATCACCAAGTTCAGGTCAGCAGCCCCGAGGTCCCATTCAGATGAGGGAGATAAAGAATACATTTCTGTAGTTTTGTGGTTCTCAAATTTCAGTTGCGTCAGAATTACCTGGAGAGTCCCTTAGGGCACAGAAGGTTGGGCCCCTCCCTCAAAGTTCCTATATCAATGTCGGGTAAAGCTCGAGGTTTTGCATTTTCTTACTAAAATCTGTGGGCTATAGAGATAGACACAGGTGTAGATATTCCACGTTTCTTATTTTGAATAAAATATGGCTCAGAAAAGATAATTAATAGACTAAATGAAGTGAAAGTCTTGTTTTTGTTAAAAGAATGGTAAGATTCGTTTTTCGTGTAATGCAAGCAAAGGTTATTTAAAAATGTTTACTCTTAGCACTAATTCTATAATAATCCATGAATATTTGAATATGCAGGGAGACCCACGGAGCAGAATTACCGTGTAGGAAGTTCCTGTGCTCGTGGGCAGTCCATTCGGATCACGTCCTGTGGAAGAGTGAGCGCCTCGGCCTTCTCTTTAAAAACACCTACTTGAACCAACACGAAATTCGTGGGATGCTCAGCAATCAAAGGAAATGAACTACTGATACATGCCACAACACTGCAGGCATTATTCTGAGCAAAAGCATCTGCACAGAATACACACATATTGCATGTTTCCATTTTTATCATGTTCTAAATTTTGGTACCATGAGGAAAGTGAGACTGGTGGTTAGCTGAAGCCAGTGATGGGGAGTGACTCTGAAGGGACTCAGAACTTGAAAGGTGATGAAAATGTTTTTTAGCTAAATAGGCATGGAAATTACATAGGTGTATTCTTCAGTCAGTTAAAACATTTGCATTTCAGTATATATCCATTTTATCTGGAAAAATAGCAAGGGGTGCTGTGGGTGTAAGGAGAGGCATAGACAAAACATCCCCAGGTAGAATGTATATAGTTGATGAATCCTAATGAGGCACAGAGAGTTCATGATACTATTCTGTTTACTTTGCATATATTAAAAAACAAACTAACTAACTAAAATGACCTCTGGATTTTTGTCTTTCTATACTACTTCTCTGGAACTTAATCATTAGGTTAGTTAATAAAACAAACTTCCTAAAACTGGAAAAAGAGGTAGTTTTACATTAATTCCTCTAATAATTATTTACCTGATGGTATTGAAGAGGTTAAATCAGATACTATTGTTCATTTTGAACAAATTCTTATTTGTAGTTTTTATTTACAATTCACAACCTGGCTTCTCCTTCTTTCTCCCCCCAAAATTTTTGAGGAGGGTTGCATTTTTTTTAATGTGATTAAAATCATTAAGACAGACACTTAAGAAAATTTCAACAAAGAGGGATAAGTAAATCAGGAACAGGGATATAGATCAATTGCAGTTAATCAGACATCCTTAGCATCCAGGGCAAAAAGAGAAATATAATGGGTTGTATCTTTTCCCTTCCTTTGTGTTATTTAAGGATGCATATGTACAAAAGAGATCATCTCCCCTGCTCACTCTGGCATTATATTTGTAAAAGAATTGTTCATGTGAGTAATCTATAAATACCTAAGTAATATAGTAGATGATATCATTTATTGAACTGTTATTTTGTCATTGAATCTAAAAATTCTGACATATTTTTTCCAAAGTGATTAGTCATTTTATCTTTGTTTAAGAATGTAAGTGGCAAGTAAGACTACTCATATCGTAAAAATATTCCTTTAAAAAGTATTCTAAAGGATTGATGGAAATAGAAAATCATCATTTCACAATCACCACAATAATAACTGTAATAGGCAAGAACCATTGATGGATGCTAACATTTATGGGGAAAAGTATGATAAGAGGATGTTTACATAGTCCCATATTATCTCTCCAGAAGACATTCATTAATTACAAAAGAAAAAAAATTGTAACTATACAGTGGAGAAAACTGTCAGACATCACCATAAACAAGGGATTAAAGTTAGCATCATGAGACATGAGACACAGCCACAGTATGCACTGTCTTATATGAAGCACTGAGAAGAGAATATCACTTCTTCTGCCAAAAATGCATAACCACAGTATAATCAGCAGAAAATATTGGGCTGGGTCAACTGAGGGGCATTCTACAAAATCAACTCAATATTCTTGAAAGGGTCAAGGTAATAAAAGAAAGCCTTTTAGATTGGAGAAGATTAAGCAAACAAGGCAACTGAATGTAGTATGGAATTCTGGATTGGATGTTGCAGCAGCAAAAAAAAAAAAAAAAAAAGTAAGAGAATAAGGAAATTTGGAATCAATTCTATAATTAGTTAATAGCATTGTATCAATGTTGATTTTATGACTGATCATTTTATTGTGTTATGTAAGATGTTAACATTAGAGGATACTGGGATAAATGCATACAGAGTAACTATATTTGCAGTTTTTTGAAAGTAGGAATTACTTGAAAATAAAAGGGGGGAAAAGCATCCTGAGATCACTGACGACTAGCCAACATTTTACTAGATATGACTGAATTCTACATTTATGAAATGACCTGGGTCAAAATAATGTCAAGAGTAACGTTGCCAGCTGGGTAACTTGCTAACTTAAGCAGAGTATTCATAAAGTACCTCCATTCCAGCAGCACTGCAGCCCACTGATTGTCACAAAGACTTAGCCGCCAGGTGCAGCCTCCTGAAGCTGAGGCATTCCGAACCAGGGGGTGAGAGCTTTTGCAAATAAGGCAGCTGGACTGAGATTTTTGATGCCCAGAAATTGCAGATGAGCACCTCCTAATTTTTATTAAAAAATTGTAGTAATGGGACAGTAGATTGCACAATATACAGATCAATGAGGTCCCAGATGAAATTCTTACATGGCTTAAAGGGGTATTTTTAGAAAACAAAGCAGTAATCAATATCCTCCCCCAGAAAAACACAAATTATCACTCGTACCTCAATTTACTTCTTTCTTGCAGCAAGTTATTGATTGATTGGTAAAGTCACAACAGTTCCACTTGAGTAAGATAATTAGTAAAGTATTTCGTGATATTTCGTTGAGAGCAAGAAAAATATTGGCAGAACATGTAAATAACTGCATGAATTTTGTGTTAGTTTAGATACGGACTGAAATGTCATGCTTAATGGGTTAGTATCACTCTGGACGAAGGTCCACAGAGCTTTATCCTCAGGCACATCTGTGTAAATGTATATCTGTCCATGACCATGGGCAGAAATTCAATGAGGCAATGAGCACCTTCCAAAATTACAACCGTCTTTTCTCTGCCACGTGACCCCCACGATCATGAACACAGCTTCCAGGGAATGAGAAGGATGTGTGCTGCCAAAGGCCGGCCAGACCAGTGAGATCCCTTCTCACAGGGAGCTACACGATTCGATCACATTAACTCCACTCTCCTCCAGCATCCTTTCTCACTACTCTATTCACCCAGCTTGACTATGTGCACCCCTAGGCTCTGGGCTTAAAGTTATTACAGCCACCCCAAAGCAGCAGACATTTCATGTGAGTGCTCATCACACAGGATGTTATTTTTCTTATCAGTCAATCAATCACAACATATAAAATAAGTTTTTTCTTTGTTCATGATACTGTAATTGATTAAGATTACAGCCAGAAAATCTATTATAGACTTTTAAACATATTTATTCCAACAAGTGAGTATAGTCTGTAATCTGAGAATTTTTTTAAAAATCACTTTTGAAAATATGGAGTGGTAAGAATTCTTTGATTTACTATCCCTTGCTTAGTTTAGGTAGCATGTACTTATAAATTACAACCTTGTAATGATTACAAGAATAATGAAGATTATCAACAAACTTACCGACACTTGGGTAACCAGGCGTAGAAGGGTCTCCTCCTGGATTCAGTGACACCATGAAGGTGTCAGAGCCAGGACTGGCAGTCTTTGGTAAATCACAAGGATCAATATATAGAAGGACACCTCCAAATCCAGCCTTTTCCAGTAAGGAAAGCTAAAAGAGAATAAATTATTAAAAATATTACCATAAAATATATTATCATATGCATTAAAAGTTCATATAATAACATCTTATGAATGTGACTGAGGTAAGATAACTTTCATTTCTGAATTTTTTGTTCTTTTAAAATAAACAGATACTTCAGACTTCCCAATTATCAAGCCCAGCCAGAGAGTTATCCTACTGGCCTCTCCCATTTTTTCTCTATCTCAACAATATTTAAGCAGTGTTCCTATAATGTCGATATTTGATTTCACTTGTCTGAACGTGGAATTTCTCCCTCTCTCTTTTTTAATTGGCCAAGTAGATCTGGAATTTCTAATTTCACAGGATTAGCAGATATTAACCACAGACAAGGTAAAAAGAGAGATGTTAGGGCCATTATAGCATGTCCTTCCCCAGAGCAGAAATCACTGGAGTATTCTGATATATTTCCCCCAGGGTTCAGTCTGACATATCAGTCATTAAAATGTTAAAATACTTACACACTGTTTGGCCAATAGCTACTGTCCTGAACCCCCGAAGGCCCCCCACTATACTCCTTACTCTGTTCTCTGCCCTGATGTCCCAGCCAAAGCCCCAGGTACAGCAACTGAGGGATATACACATAACAGAATGAGGGGCCTCCTCCTGAGGGGTCAGTTCCTGTTCTGTCTTTAACCATTTTGAAAATAGCCCCTGATTATTTGAGGCATATTTAATGTAAAGATTCCTCTCTGTTCTTTAATAAATACACCAAAGATAACTATGATGGGACAGATGAACTTGAAAACATCCCATGTTCTCTTTGTTTAAACTTGTAAAATTAATTTGGGTGGGGGGGATTATAGAGCTTACTCCTCTTAGTGAGACTTACCTGATATGAAAAAAATAATAGTGATTTGCCAGTACTATTTGTTTCCCATGAGAGAGAAAATGTAGGTGGTGGATATTAGGGGAAACTGGGACTGTGACTAAAGGCCCATCGAGCGCAGGCAGCTGGGGCGCATTGGGTGGCTCCAGTCAAGCCCGCACCTCACTGCCCAGTTACTGCTTATTACTGCTGTTCACTGAGCCTTCCGGCGAGCAGGGCACGTGTGCCCGCCTGGGCCACTCCAGGGCAGGCATCGCCTGATCGTCTCTACCACTGACGCCTGGCCCTTAGCAGGCACATGGCAAGTACTCAAGAGTCTTGCTAAATGGAAGAATAATTGAGAATGAAGCTGGTTTGGCACAGCAGCTGCTCTTCAAGAAGAGACCTCTGACAAAATACCTAGAATGCACTTCAATTAGCGCACTGTATGCGGGAAACGTATTTATACGTTTTACGTTGACTGGTAGTAGAGGGTGTGATAAAAACTACCCGCAAACAATGTGTTAGGAAGAATAAAACATATACTTGTATCTATAACATTATTTTAACTAAATAAAGGAAATCATGGATAGAAAAATAACTGATATTTGATGTAAGTAATCCACATTATGGCATGTTTTCAACTCCTTTGAAAATATTTTGTACTTTCCAATTTTGGGTGTAGTAAATAAGTATGTATTATTTTTAAAATAAGAAAAAAGCACCACCACTGAGAACCTAAGCAAAATTTCATTGTCTCCTGTGTGCTTTCTGTAGCAAACCAAGCTCATCAGATGTCTATCATTCCCCCGCCTCGGTCAGTGTTTTAATGAGGGGGTGGGAGAATTTAGGGAGAGACAAAGAATGAGGAATAAAAGAAAGAATAGGTGAACATGGGGCCAGATTTACAATTGGCTCTCCAGTGCTCACACTGAAGCCCTCAGGCAAGGCTTCCTCGGGCTAAATGCTGAAGTTACGATTCTTAAAACAATGATCGAGAGAATGACTTTGAATGTTCTGCTCACTATAGGAGAATATTTTAAGAAAAAATAAGAACTGCTCTACAAATCAATTTTTTAAATATAAAAATTTACATGTTTTAAATTCCTGAAGTAAATCATAATAATTGAGAAAAAATACAGGGGGAAAATAAAAATAAAAACAAAAACAAAGAAGCAAACAAAACAGCCCCATTTCCCTATTTGTCAAGGTGGCAAATGATAGCACGCTAGAGTTTCTAGGCCGTCCTATCAGGGCTTATGCTCATACACAGGAACACTGACAAAATAAAAGCACATAGCATAAATACTATTTTACAATCTTTTTTTACATTTAACAGTACACACTAAATATTTGTCCATGTTGATATGTACACTTTTATATAATTTTAATAGCTGTATACTAGGCACATATGTAAACAATATAAATAATACTCTGAAGAGAGGCCATAAACATTGGTTACTTAACCAATCCCTGACTATTACTAATACAAATTGTTTCTATTTTTTAAAATATTATATTTCAGCAAACTTCCTCATTGCTAAATCATTGCACAGATATCTATTTTCATGAAATTATTTTCCCTGGGTAAAATTTCTAGTGAAAGTATTTCTGTTTTCATTATTTTTGATAAACTAAATTTCCTCCATAAAACCTAAAAGAATTTTTATTCTTACTAGCCATATATGTTAGTACTTCTACTGATTTCCCCTCATATCATCAACATTAGATGTTACTTTAAAAAGAATATTTGACAATCTAGCTAAAAATTATTTGTCCAAATTTTTTAAATTACAAGTTAAATGTATTATTTCTTGTGATTTTGGCCACTTGTATATTGTCTTTTGAGAATCACCTGCTTGGGAAACACAATTTTTTATGATTTTTGGACCACTTCTCCATTTCAACTCTGTATTGAGTATCACTTTGCACCAGTGATGTGCTGGTCTGGGGATACAAAGGTAAGTATGGCAAGGTCCCTGCTCTCAGGAAGTTTAGTTTACCAGTGGAATGACCAACAGTTTTCACTGAGTACTAAGCCCAATTAAAAGGCAATGAGTGGCTGCCAGGAGAAGGATTGTGTGGCCAGGTTCAGGGTCAGGCAACAGTGGAAGTGGTTCTTTGAAATATGTTTGCCATGGACACAGGACAGGGATGTGGTGATCCACATTTTTTATTTAAATAAATTTGCTGACCCAGTTTCAGTGAGAGAGTTAAATGATCTTCAAAAATATCTTCTAAAAATGTCAACTATTTGACTGTTTAACGTTTATGAAACCTAGTGATTTAGGTTTAACTTAGTTCAAAATAAAAAGCTAGCACTGCATATTTTGTCTGTTCTGATTATATTTGGTAATACATTGTGATCTCTTTATTAGCAGTATATATCATGATATTTTTCTATACCTGCTAGCCTACAATGAAGCAATGTGGTTTAGTAATAAACTATCTTTAGCTAGAGTTGATTACCTCCCTATAGCCCTGAAGAGACAGCCTTGTATGTGATTTTGTCTCTTCTTTCCACCTTCCACCTGCAGTGGTTGAACCTGAGGTGGCCGCCTCTTAAACGCTGTCAAATCTGGTTCCTGGTGCCGTCTACCTGCCCTTATAGAGGTTTTAAACAAGGAGCTCAATCCAGTCACTCAGTTTCAGAAATTGTCTATTGCTTGATTTCCAATGAAGTTGGCCTATATTAAATCAAATAAAAAGTGTCCTCTGCATTGTTAGCACTGCATTTTGAACACGGGGAGGTGAGGCTTGCCTAAAATGTTCAAAGATCCAGTATTCTAGTGAGATTCTGTTTTAAAAATGCATTCAAAGGCAAGCCAATGCAAAAAGGAAGGAGCTAGCTGTCAACTGGGCTGTCTGCTTCAGCTGGTGGCAGACTGTCCCTGGGTGCACAGGTGAACGTTGTTAGCTCTGCTCATGACCTCGCACAACTTAAGACCGAGGATGACAGGTCTACTGGGGAGGAAGGTCTAATTCATAAAAAGAGAGGGCAAATGTAAGGCCAAGATTTCCTGACATGGAATTTCAACTATCCTTTGCTTCTCTTGCTCAAATATATTATATATGTCATAAGTTTGAGGTTCTCTGTCTTGATTCCTACCTTGTAAACTAAGACAACATTTGGTATAAGCAGGGTCAGTCAGAAATTAGAATGGAGACATAAAAATGAGTCAGGAAGATGGTGCTGGGCCTGAAGGTGATAAGGTCATGGAGAGGCAGGCTTGGCTGCTGGCTAGGGTGGCTCACTGACACCCAGGCTATATTTCCCTGGAGGGGCATAGTCTCCTAATTCACACAAAGCACCTTATGAGCAGTGGCATCCACGTTCAGAATAAATTCCCTGACTACAGGGAATTTAATCTGCAAACTAGCATTTTCTGGGCATGAAAACTATGAGCATTGCTAAGGAAACTGGTGACGAAAGAGGAATTCAGAGAAAACAGAGATCAGAGTGGACAAGAGAGGGAGTACCATGCACAGGCTCCATGTCCAGCTCAGCTCCTTCACTTGCATTGGCCGAAGTTTTCCTCCCCTTTTGAGTGTTTTTGTTACTGGCAAATAAACCATCCATAACAAGACAAATGAAAGGCAGTAGGCTGGGAGATGGTAATGGATCTTGATACCAACCCTGACACTTAAACAGCTATGTGACAACTCATATAATCTTTCTAGGCCTTGGTTTCACCATCCATACAATGCAAGGATTGGACAACATTATCCTTAAAGACCCTTTCTGTTACAAACAACAACAACAAAAAACATGTAGTCTAATCCTATGATTTAAAGAAATTGTTAATGAAGACAATTATTGTACCTTTAAATATATTGCAGACATAAAATTTGCTCTAAAACTGTTGGTCAGGAATATACTTTTCAAAAATAACACAATTTCTATGATTAAAATATATTTCAAATAGTTTTATGATGTGGTTTCTTACATCACATCTTAATATTTTAATTTTTCATTGAACTTTTATTAGGGACAAAATAAGGAAAATTTAAGTATTTAGATTCTATGCCTTAAAACTCTCCTAAGTGAATCATTCCTCTCTTATTAAGTATAAGGAAATGCTAATTTCATCTTTCAAAATGATTTCACAGTGCTTATACCCTAAAACCTGTTGCATGTCTATGACAATTGCAATAAATCATG